CAGAGAGTTAATTTTCCAGGACGTTGCTGGCTGCAGTACCTTCAACTTCATTCTGTAAGGGGTGCCCACAACAAAATAATGGGATCATTGTAGTCTGGCCAATTTTAGATGATAAAAGAATTGTCAGTATTGTAATTCTGAATTTAAATTCATGACAAGCGTATACAAAGTGGATTGAATGGTCAGTGCATTAGAATTTTTGTTTTGCAGTCCCGTACAACCGTTATAAACTCTTGCTTCAAGATATCAGGCTTTATATCTATCTAATACAGGTATTCGTTTTTCCCATCATCTTTTGTCTTGTTCCATGTCTTCCTTTCTGTGCGTGACTGTGCTTCATTGCAGTGTGTTTACGAAGGCTTCAAATTACCAAACAGCAACTGGCACGTAGTCAATTGATGCACAGCATACTTTACTGGAGCGCTGTATTTCCATACCCAGCGCTTGAAAGAAGACCGGTATAGCAGAATGTAATAACCACTTGTGTGACCTAGGAGTACATGGGATTGTAATATTGAATTTTATATAAAGTAGAATTGTGCCTATAGATTGGATTAAAATGTGGATCAGAATAAACTCTGATTGTACGATTTTTGAAAACTGTAAGGACAATTCCATTTTCATAGAAGGGTGGTAATTTTTGACCAGATGAACAACGACCAAGTTCGACATTGGAGTTAGAAATAAACCTAAATAAGTACTAATTAACGGAGTGACTAAGACTTTTTCTTCTGTTCACAGGTACGATTCCACATTGCTGTCATAAGTTGCTATCACGTAAGGTAAGGCAAAACTTGCTGTTACACAGTGTTTCCAAACTTTCTTGAATAGCGACACTTATTACTGACGGAACCCGACAAAATAGTGCGAAATAGTCTAAATATGGCAAACAGGTAAAGGCCGTTTTCGGGGATGTACTTAACTGTTACGTTAGAAACATAGGACTGAGTTATACAACCTGCCGAACATTCGGAAACGCACTTTAAAAACTGTAATGCGTTATTTGTCTTTTCTTCTTTATTATTTCCTTCTTTATCTCTTTTCTTTCCTGACTTTCCTTCCTTATCGCTTTGATTATTCCTTTCTCTTTTCTTCTTTTTCTATTTTCTTTCGCTGTCCCCTCTTTCAAATATGTTGGCAAATTCTTGGCTTGGCCGCGTAACGAAAGCAGCTATAAATTGCTGTTGTAATATGAAGCCCAGTGAATATGAAGTCTAGTCTGCATGTAATGAAACTGTTAATATGGAGTTTCCGAAACCAAACTCCCTTCGCGTTTTTCAGTTTTGTGTTCGTACAGGCTTAGTGTTAGTTTTTGTAGTTGTTTGTGACAGTATTTAATATTTTGCACAATACAGATTAACATTGATTGTATTTTGAAAACGGATTGAATTATATTTCTACAACGAATATGGCTTGTTTTTATTAAAAAATAAATGATGCATTATAAATATAATTTCGAAATACGACTAGCTTCGTCGTGGCAGCATAAATCGATAATCGTAATTCATTATTGATAAGCACGTGATTACATTACATATTATTTGTTTAAGTGACTCGTTTATGTATAGAGGCCATTGACGTCATAGATTGTCAGTGTAGATACATTCACGGTGTAATTTTGCATTGTACCTTTCTAAGCGTGTACGTTATTTTAAAGACGTGCCCAACGGTATTCCAATAACGCGTTCCGATTTTTTAGGTAAGAATGAAGTTTAGCACTGCACAAAAATTCTTCACAAATACCGCCTTGTTTCATGTTACACTATAGACGTGTATCTATTGAAATCCCACCCACATTTCCATCACAATAAGCAGTCCGATATTTGATATGGAAAGCTTTTGAATCATAATCATGCACTCAGCTACATCAAAAGCCTGCCGCTAATGACCATATGTATACTAAGCCTAGTTTCACTTCCTTAAAATGAGTAGAAGCGTCCGTCGTTTGTAATGATATTTTAACTTTGTGGCCTTCCTTACCTGTCTTAATGTCCTGTTTGACGTCAGGCATAGGAAATAGTCCAAGTGAGACCATGACTAGAACTTGCGTATATTTCACATTCCGTTCCCTTCAAATATTGGCTTATATGTAGGATTATATCCTTAAAATCCACGTACAATCACAATGATCAAAATGATTTGTGTATAACTAAGCAATGCAAATATGAACTTTGCCTATGTTGTATGCAAGTTTGGAATTTATCTCACTACATATAGTATTTCGTAAATTACTTGTATCGAATCTGCCGTCTCTGGTTGTACTGTGCGCTTCTCGTTAGTCGATGTCCTGTTTCCTGAACGAACATTCAATTTCGAGAAAAATCTCTCGCATTCTCTTTTCCGGCCTCTTTGACTCTTCCGAGCGGAAGGCTTCATTTTCTTTGAATCAGTCTGTACTTTTCCAGCTGTGCCACTGTCGTTTCTGTTGATGATGATACCAACAACAACAACAACAACGTAATTTCTACAACAAATTGTAGAGCAAACCAACGCGAAATTTGTGAGCGAGGAAGAAAGTATGACGAAGTATAAAGTAACTCGAAAGATAACAGGACATATACAGGTGGTTATAATGCAACTTTGCTATACGCCGTTTTTCTTATTCTATTTCTTATGCCACATTCTTTCTATTCTTTCACGGTATAAATGACCGCAAAAATACGAAATAAGTGTCAACACATGTTAAATGAGTTCCGCAGAACAAAGTGCATGTATACGTGAATGAGACGCTTAATATTTGAGCGCTTAAACCAATAATTGCATGTTGATTGTTGTCATTGTACTAACTGACTGACTAACTAACTAACTAACTAACTCCTTGGTAGCAGAACCTGCGGGTCCAACACCGACAACACCAAAGCCCGCCACCGGACACGATCCCGAGCCGACTCTATTTTCCATCCTCACAGACCACCTCTCTAAGAGCCATCTTGATGTCATCCTCCCATCTATGCCTTTTCTGCCCAGTGGTTGTTTTCCAAGAGGATTTCCCATCAAACTTCTGTACGCAATCTTGCCTCCCCCAAGCGTTCCACATGTCCATCCCATCGGAGCCTCCTAGGTTCCACTAACCTCACTGTGCTAGCTGGCCTGTGTAATTCACACCGCTTTAAGTTGTGTAACATTCTAAATTCCTCAATTATTTCATCCTCCCTAGGTCAAAATATCTTTGACATATTGTTATTTTAAAATTATTGGCGACCATTGAGATCAAACCCGGGATATTTTATTCGCCGAAAACGCTTACCTCTCGAATATCCTGTCTTCCGGAAATGGCTGTTTTGTAACTATATGTTACACGTTTATTTCGTATCTGTTAGCAGAGGGCGCCATGTGGAAATGAGGTCTAGGTTTGGTTGTATGTCGGTATTTCCGAAAAGTGACGCAAAATAAGATTGGGATATGTGAGTCGCTTTCGCAGTGGTCTATATTATAGACTCTATAACGTCAGATAACCGTCCCGTGTACTTGATACTCCCTGGCAAGAAATCGACCGAGAAAATAAAAGCGTAGTCATTTTTGTTTATGACGGTACACCACGAACCCAACTTTCCCCAGTCCCAAGAACCCTACGAGACCAAGAGCCATCTGTTTCGCGTCAGTTACACATGCCACTGACGTGGAGAAGGAACGGGATAAAGCAGCTTAGACCTGGAAAAGCCGTTGTCACTTATCTCCTTTAGAAACTGAGCTTGCTAGTTCAAAAAGGAATATTACCTTGGACATTGTTCATTGTCTGAAGTATATTTGATATACATGACGTTTCGAGGAGTTGGTTCTGCTCATGTCTTCCAGTGATTAGTTTTCATTATGCTGGCAGGTTTTAACGGCTTTTTAAAGGAGTATTAATGCTATTAGTGCACGTCTGTAGGGGCTGAACCCGGGATGTTTTGAATACTGGGCTGGTGCGTCAATGTTTTCTTTTTGTCGATAATAATAAATATAAGGGCGATAAAATATCTGTGTGTGTAAAGAAAGTCAATCACCTGAAGACGGAAATAAAAACAAATCCCGAAACGTGGTATGTGTCTTCGAATGTACCTCAGTCAGCGGACATTTTTGGCATTTGACATGTTTACGTGTATTCGCTTAACGAAATAAAAATGTGTTTTGAAAATATTTTGCTAAATGTGATCCATGCAGTAAGTTTTTAATTAATAAAGTTCTGTCCCAAACTTTCAAAAACATGTGCAACAAAAAAACACAACATTTAACGGCACAAATTACAGTAATTTCTCCTTAATATTAGAGGAGAAACTGAATTTATAAGCTGTCACATTCTTTACAGATTGACACTTTCGTTGATTGGACCCATTTTCTATAGTAGAAAAAAAAAATTGTCGAAGGACTCCATTCAATGAGTTGTTAATTGTAAATTTTGTGAAATAAATTTATGTCTGTTTACAGAGAACCGTTTTGGGAGCACCTAAATGTGGACACACTTCTTTTAAAATAACAGGCATTTTCCTGGAACTGGAACAGAATGTTACTTATTGAAGAGTAACAACTTCCCATTTCTCGATGCCAGTGTAATGGCAACCAAACACTTTTAGAGAGGTAGGTGGCTTGCGTTGGACAAGGATAATGTCGAGCACTGTCCATATAATATGCAGCAGTGGTTGGTTTGCTTTTTTGGTTGGTGATCGTTTGCTGCTCAGGGATTTTAATTCTTATGGGATAATATTTATAAATGCGTGTGTTGTTATATCCGTTGCAGTGGCAATGCTGTTGACGGATCTTGGGTCTTATAGGATAATATTTATTACTGTGTGTGTTGACTACTTTAGATTTTCCCATCATCGTTGACGGAGGCATTACTAGTGTTGTAATAAATGATCCACTGTCATTATGGTACGTCGCTAGCGAATCGAGCTCTCCACCAAATTCCGTAGGCAGCACGTCCTTTGAGACTTTCTTGTATTGTGTGTCCATTGTCGTATTTGAACGTAGCTGAAAAGAAGTGAATTGGCTGCTAAAATAATAATTCCGAACGCAATAAGTAGTATACTCGTATGCCATAAATAGTAGCTCTTTATTTTCTATGGATCTAAACTTAGATTAATATGTAACTGATAAAAAATTACTTCACTCGCAGAATGATTCAGAGTTGTAGTAAAATACTAGAGGAGGTTGTTGGGGATATCATTTGGAGCAGAAAATATAAATAAAGTTTTTGAGATTTGCCACTGTTTCCGTATTAGGTGGTGTCTGGTGGTTTTAGTTAAATCAAGGAATTACGTTTTTGTGAACGCAGTTTAAGAATCACAGTACCTTGTAATATATATAATTATATAATTTGTTGTTTGTAAATTGTTTAGCAAATAACTTTAGTCTTGTGACTGGTTATATCAAGCGCAGTTGTTTTTTGTGGTACTTGTAGGTGAATGAGCTTTTATGCTGTGCTGTTTGAATTTGTTAATCAATTTCCAACATTTTCGTTGAATGTTCATTGTCGAGTACTCTTCTTTCGTCCTTTTGCTTTTCAGGCCTCTTTGACTCATCCATGAGAAAGGTTTCCTCCTCTTGAAACCAGTTCCTGTAGTGACCCAGCTGTGCCACCATCATTTCTGTAAATTAATAATCCATTTCTTAATTTAACGTGCAAGAATTCCATGAGCTAATTAAACAGAATGACTGAGTAACAAGGAAAATACATACACGAAGTAAACACAGTAAAATATTCTAGTAGAAAGAGCGTAACAATGGCGAAGGTAGAATATATAGTAATTACAAATTAATTGATTTCAACAAGATACATCTTACAATGCTATCAAACACGTCAACATTAGGGCTGTTACAAATCTCATTGACTGCTGAGGCACCGCGAACAGAAAGACGTTTGCTGCCTGGAAACGGAGTGTACAAATTATTGAAGTCTTTTTAGGTCTTTGGAACTCTGATACCAACAGTTTTCAAAAGCGAAAGACCGGTATTAAAGCCTTCATAAAAGGTCCTTACGAATAAAACATTAAAGTAACGCTACCTGTCGTGAAATATGTTCAATTCCAAGTTGTCCAAAACGTAATTGTAACTGTGTGAATAATAATAAAAAATGATTGGCAAAATAACAAAAAAAGAACGCTGCTTATACCAAAATCCGCTTTTGAATACGATTCGAATGCAGGAAATAGACACAATAATAATAATAATAATGACAATTTGAAATACAAGGACCTTCTCATAGAAATACAGATAATGTGGAAAGTTCAAGCAAAAGTAATCCCAATAATTATAGGAGCGACAGGAACTGTCTCCAGGTCGCTCAGAAAATATTTGGCCAACATCTCGGGCAAACACGACATCAGGGAACCGCAGAAGACCGCCATTTTGGGAACTTCAAACATCATCCGAAAGACGCTTTCATAAAATAAAATTATATAATACACGTAGCACTTGCTAAAAACAATATGTATCCCGGAAATAGCTGCTGTCCCATGTACCTTAGGGACAAGGTCTGTCTCGGGTACATGGAAGTACATACCCCATAAAGTGGTGAAGAGATGGGACAATAATAATAATAATGTCATCATCAATAATGCAGTGTGTAATGGCTTCTTGCTTTGAAGTATGAACATATATTACAAGTGTTCTAATACGAATGTTCTAAAGAAACTATTTGGACCTAAGAGTGATAAAGAAAGCGAACAATTTAGGATGAAACTTCATGATTTAAATAGGTTACCTAGAATTATGAGGGAAGTAATCTCTAGAAATCAAACATAATTTTTGTAGGAAAACCTCTTAAAAACAAACAACTTCTAACAGCAGAAAGTGGGTTGGTAACATTAATATGGATCGTACTGAGGTAAGTTATTAGAATTATAGGTGAATGGATATGTCATAGGTTAGGTCTAGTGGTTGGCACTTCTGCTTCGTATTCGTGATATCCCGGGTTTAAATCTTGATCCGGAAATCGGCTATCCTAACTGACGTTTTTCTTTTGTATTTCTCAAGACAAATGCGAGAACAGGTTCTTAAAGCAAATCACAACTTCTTTAATCAATAACTTTCCAGTCCATTATTTATTAATCTTTGCGTCATTGATCTGAGATAATAACAGCTTTGTTATGCAAGCCACAAATAAACAAATAAGGCAGGAAGGTCACAGTACATGCAAGCAGACAAGAACTTAACACTCGATTTACTGATCAGCTGACGGGAAACCTGTTCTTTCATAGAAACTTATTATGCAGATGAAGAAAGCGTGGTCAAGCAGGCAACCGCCCTGTCCTGGAAGTCAGATCAGCTGTTCACATTTTACTGTATTTCCTGTAAACTGTTACACAATTTCCTTCAATTCTCTATCTCTGTCTCTCTTTTGACATTGCAACGCACTGAAATGTATTTGAATATAGTTTTCCATCATTTCGTCCATGTGTTTTAAAATTTCTGAACCTTTATATCTTAAGAATCAGAACATGCTAGTACTCAGAAAAATGAAGAGAAGGTACTGTTTCTAAAACAATATAAAATGTCAAGGCGATGCTATATTATCACAGCCCCAAATATCTTCTTGGCGTAGTGTATGGTCAGAAACAGTGGAAAATTTAGTTTCACCTGCTCATTAGGATATATGAAACAAATGTGCTGTTTTATTATAGAGATTGTCTGATTGTCACGGTGTGTTGAAGTTTTAAAAAGTCATACGTTTGACAAAAACTAGCTGTCTTTTTCTTCAGAATCTTTTGTCGTCTTCCTAGAGTTTCCACTTGAAAACTTATGCATTTCTTGTGTTTCTATCTCGACTTACGTATTAACAGTTGGCGCTGCCCGAGAGAGACAAAGTACGATATCGCGATGTGTCTAAAGTATGGACTGCTGCTAGTACTGACGTCTCATTTTGCCAGTTGTTTGTTTTGTGAAGCGTTGAATCTTAACTTGAGGGGAAATCACATCACAGACGTTTCAAAACGAAGCTCGGAGGGAAATATTTGAATCAAAGTTTTCATAACAACTTTTCCTTCCTAGATGTCCTCTTTGTCCTTGGGAGGAGACGTGTTAGTGGTGACTGAAGGAATTCAGAAGTCGATAATTTAGAATGTTACATAACAAGGAACTCGGTGGTTTATAGCGTAAACATAACATATTAATTTACCATGTTATATGCACAGATGCAATATAAATACATGGTACATGAAATGCGTTGTTTAAGGTAGCCACTAGTGGAACGAAAATGTTGAAATAAGGTGTGAGAATATGTGAAGAATGAAATAGGTTAGACATTTTTTGAACATGGAGATGGACGTTTGGGTTCTAAAAAAAGGCACGGCGAGGTGCGTCCCTCACTGTCGAATGACAATGAAATGGCTAAAAGCAGACTGCATTCTGCGTGTAGTGAGTCAAAAGGTCGGCCATTTATATATTAATGTAGATAGCTCCTCAGTCTTAATATTGGAATAAAATTGTAAGCTATCTGATTAATTAGGTGCTTACTTTGAATAGACGTTTGTTAGTAAGCTAGCTACCTATCCAGTTACTTAGGTGCTTAATTTCCCAGACTATTCGTTACACACGTACTTAAGCCTGGCAGTCATAGCAATCACTTGGTGCCGTAGTTATTAACTTGTTTCTCAGTCACAACTTACATATCTAGACAGCAAGGTGGTTTATTTATTCCCCCCAAGCGCCTACATGGCGTTTAGTGGGACACCTTTTTTATTTTCTTATTTATCTAGGCGGTTGGTTGGAGCGCTATCCAGTACTTACATGCTTCTTCGACTAGGAATACTGCAAGTGTAGGATTTATAATACATACTACCCGCGTATTTTGATAGCTTGTACAGTGTCCCACTTAAAACTCAACTCAACAGTAATCACGTAGTAAAGTAAAGTAAAGTAAAGTTTGTCCCACTATACGCCATGTAGGCGTTTGGGGTGAGTGGAGGTATAGCTCCTCTCTTCCTTGACCTCGGCACTAGATGGGGGTGAGTGGTCAGCATCACGCCCCGGCCGGCTTTACCCCCGGGAAAGGACCCCGGTACCCATTGTAGAGGAGGCTGGGTGAGCCCCAGAGCCGGTCTGGACGCAGAGGCCAGAGGAAATATCCTCTGCCCCCTTCGTCCAGCCCGTAGCTAGTCACTATACTGACTGAGCTACCCCGGCTCATGTAATCACGTAGTACGGTACAAAAATTGAACTCAGAATTACGTCCACCCCGTGTAATAGACTCTTCCAACCTCCCCCGTTATGTTAGAGTCAAGGTCACTTTTGTTGCTAGGCCGCTTTATGTCTATCTCCCTATCACTGAGTACATGTATATCTACCCGCCTGTTTATGAATATATGTACTTAATTACTTAAACCGTTGGCTAAATATTTACTTAGATAGATGTTAACTGCTTACACTGTTAGTCGGGTTATTTGTGTTTCGCTGCAGTGTGTACGCATTTATTTCACTTACTGTATCCATCAGTCGCCTTTCAGTAACATAAGCCCAGATGAGCGGAATGTGATGATATTTCTAATTTCGATTTATTAATTAAATATGCCGATGAAATATGCATTTGTAAAAATTGACCGACGTGAGGGTATGAGCAGGCTTTCAGTTTTTTGTACTAATCAAAGTGTACATATAAATGAATTTCAAAGAAAATTGTATTCATTGTTATTATATTTTGTGTAGATTTGCTTAACCCGATGTGATATTTCAACATGGACGTAATGAAATGAGACTTACATATATACATGAAACGAACATGCTTCTATGCGATGAACAACGAAATTAATATTCTTGAAAACTCACTGTGATAAGTCGTCAGTGAATCCAGTTTTCCTCCATACTCCTTAGGTAGTGCGTCTTTTGAGACGTGGTCGTACAACGTATTCATCGAAGTGTGAATGAAGATCTGAAAGGAAATAACATATTCACCAGATATAAATTTACCGAATAAAATTTTTGAAGTGGTAGCAAAAATCTCAAATTCATTGTACCATCAATTTCAACACGAATATAATTTCGAATCGTTCGTTTATTTCCCAAATTCTTAAATTTACACATTTTTAAATAATGTTTTGTTTCCGTTTCTTGTAATTTTGTCCTACATTCTGCTGTGACACAAAATGTAACTGGGTGAATCTACGAACGACATTTATACTAAACATACCTTAAACAATGGGCAAAGTTGAGTATTTACTAATGAATGAACGATGACATGACTTTAGAAAGTAAGTTTATATTAAGTTTGTATCGCCATGATTTATTTTTTATAATTTAGTTACTAGTAGTTATCAACTCCATATGTCATTATATCCTACTATTATGAATGAATAGAAACTTCGTTTATGCGAAAATGTGTATGCCGCGTGAAGATCAAATTAGTGTATTATATAAAATGTTATATATTTATCATATTACTCCTTACTCGCATATATTGCGATTCTGTAACCGTGCAAGCTGGGTAACCAACTGCATCTAGCAGAGTCTTTCTTGAAAATCTAATACTGCGCTCAGCTTGCCTCTTTTAGTGGACCAGAAGGAGAACGGTGCAAGTCCATACCTTTCTAGACATGCAGCTCTTAAGAAATGGTTTTAACATAGCCATCATTGCCTTCGTGACGTAGTTGGCATTCAGAAAATGATTTGCCACAACATTGCCAGGGAAAGCGTCCTGAAACAGACAAACCTGTGGAAGTCAGCAAGTTAGATATAACTGGTGAAGGGGTCTTCGTCGGCTTTATAGAGGTGACATTTTCATATATATCCACGTTTGAATGTAGAATTAGCTGACGGTTGTTATTTTGTAAGACAACTTTGGCTGATGGTTTAATCGTTATTTGTGTCTGTCTCCTTAGTCAGCTTTAGAAAACGGTTTTCAGTTTATAATGAATCATGGTACCAGCATTTACAGTTATATTCGTACATTATGCCACTAGACTTCAACCAGCGTTCTACTTTAATTTCCTAAATTACATATTACTAACATGGTGGCCATGCTAACGTATTACCTGAGAAAGACACTGTTGGCGTCATTTAATATAGGATCCTCATGTTTTGTGTAAGAAGTCTTCGAAAAAGCATTTCTCAAGGGACATTTGTAGAACATAAAAGAACAATATGGTAACCTGGTGAAATCTATACACACTTTCGGTTTCGTGATTCTACGTAATTAACGTGATAAAACGTGGCAGAAAACTGTGGAACTTTTTATATGTAAATAATTAAAACGTATCGACGATGCGAAGAAACTGTAAAGTGTAGTTGGCAACTAGTATTAACGTGCATTGCGCACAGAAATGGTTCACGCACCATGTTCAGTTTTATTAACTTGCGGTCTCTGCCGGCCTCTCCAATCTCTTCTCAGAGCTACTTCTTTGTTCAGAATGATTCGCGGTAGCTCAGTCTTATTGACGAGCAACGGTTCGGCGCCCGAGGATCTTGGTGTATTTAACGATGTGTTCAGTTGCTGTCGAAATATGACAAGATCAACGAGCAATGAATTGGAAAGTTGCTAAAGGAAGCCTTTATATTCTAAATTAAAATACCGTGCTTCCATTTGCATGGAGGGATTGAGGAAAACCCTCAGTCAGAATAGACTACCTCCAAGCTGAGATTTAAACTTTATACGATGGATGAAGTCCAGAAGGGACATTTAACAATATTTATAATATTTGTAAGATGAATATTAGGTGAATTGCTAAATGACGTAAACGGCAGGCGGATACCTGAATATACTCGGCGTACATCTTCGTATAAGAGAGTGTCAACCTGGAGAGGTGTTCGAATCTACAGCCCTTCGGGTCCATCAGAAAGACATACCCAGGAACTGTACCGTTCTCTAGCATGAAGACATCTTGAACCATGAAATATGTTTTGAGTGCACCTGAATGCGAGAACTTCGTTACATCCAGATCCGAGAATCGAACTGCCATCACTGCATTCCCGTGCTGGTCCTTCTTCGGAAGAACAGCAAATTCACTGAAAAGTTACATGTCATTTAGTTGGACACGTTTGTCTCGCGCTGTCTTAAGGACCTTCTTCTTTTACGGGGGATGAAAGCAAATTAGGAGCTGGAATTTGAGGTTCTCATGGCGCAGAAGATGTCTGCTGTCGTCTTTGGGATTGTGACAACATGTAGTCCTTGTCTATCGACTGCACTAATTATGGAGGCTACACTTTTATCCGAAACGTAGGTGACCACCTACAAGACTACACCGCATCACAACCCTACAACCCAGAAAACCACAGTCGACAATGTAATGTGGTAGGACGTCTGTATATTAGGAGCACTAGACTAGATTATATTACAGTGATAAGTTCAGGGGTGATAGTTTGGGCAAAGCCTGAAGACGAATGAAAGAGATGAGAAATTTATGCAAGATTTAAGTCGAAAAACATGAAGGGAAGAGACCACTGGGTTATCCAGGCGTAGATTGTAGGTTAATATTAAAGCAGAGATTGAAAGAAATAGGACGATAACGTGGAATTGATCCATATGGCTCATGAAATAGATCCATAGCGGGCTCTTGAAAGTCGGATGTTTATCTTCGGGGTCCATAAATAGCAAAAGGCAATCTGAAGGATTTTCGTTTCCCATGAAGGGCTCGCTCAAGGTAGTTAATTAAGTAAATATTAAATGCATATTCCGGAAATGAAACTGTACCAGTGTAAAGTGAACACACACGTGTATTTGTCTACATGCACATACCAACTGGCACCCATTTTGATTACGTAAATGTACATCCCAATACTTCACTGTTTTAATTACTCTGACAGAATAACACAGAGCGAAGTTCTGACGAGAATATATGAACACGAGAGAGATTAAATAATCAGTGAAATGGAGAATACAAAACAAAGTTCTTGAAAGAATATTTTGACCCGAGAATGGTATTACAGCCAGAAAAATTGCGAACACAACAAAGTTCTGACGAGAATATTCGGCTCCAAGAGACACTGCGACACTGGGATGCCGGGTTCGAATATTATTCTCTGCATTGATTTTTCTCCTTGTTTTATGTACTGATCCGTGATGTTAAAAAGGTATTCATTTCTATAGTCTGCTGTTTTATTAAATGTACGCCAGGCCAGTGCTTGTCTTTAAGTATAACGATTGTAGATATTTTCTGGGAGGTCATTCCTCGAACCGGGCAAGTGCTGACAAGATTCTGTGTTCCATCTGATGTTTGTCCTATGTATAATGTACATAGTTTCTGCCTTTCAATTTTTAACGTGTAGCTTACTCACAGTATGGACAAAACTTGCTGCACATCATGCCCGTTAGGATCTCTGTTTCCAAATATTTCCGGTGAATTCGAACGAATTTTGTAGTATGCTTGTATAGTTCTCTTACAGGCCTCCAGGTGGTTCTGACAGCTGTGTAGAAACAGGATCAGCTGTTCGTCTGTGGATACATACAAAAATATTTTGATGCTCCAACACGTGATATAGAATATTACAGACCAGATATTTTTCGGACGCTTGTAAGTTTCTGCTGGGATAGGAAAAATACTTTCACTGGGGGGGGATCCAGTTTGCTGGTAGAAGGCTAATGTAAGGTAAAGATATTATCTAACATAAATTCAGATTTTAAATTACCTAACATTACCAGGGCAAGTAAATGAAGAATGATTATTACATAGACAGCAAACACGACAGGGAAACAATAAATGCATGTAACAATTTGGTTGGTAAGTCCAAGGTAAAGAGTCTGTGAACTTCATGTATCGTTTCTCATACTCTCGCCCGAAAGGTGTTTGAGCGAGATCTGAAAATGATTTAGCATCTAAAATCATATCTTAAAATACTGGTAAATGTTAGGCTGGTTATTGAAACAAATTAACATAACTGCACCTAACCCATTATCACATGCCACGGTGGTCTTGTGGTTAGAACGCTGGCCTTGTAATCCTGGGGTCTCGGGTTCGATTCCCGGCGGTGCCCGAATTTATAACTTGTGTTGGGCAAGGCCGTGGTCTAGGCAACACGGAGTTTTCCTCCGGGGACTTCCCCGGTTTTTCCGTGGCATCCCAACAATTACTCCATTCACACACAGAAGAAGGCAATGGCAAACCACTTCTGGATCATCTGCCAAGAACGTATATGAACAGGTCCCAGTCCGAGAAAAGGATGGAAGGATTCTGTTCATATGGACCTGTCGTCAGACAGAACACTAAATAAATAAAATAAAATAACCCATTATCAACGCCAGCGGTTTCACGAATCTGTGTGGTGGCCAATTCCCAAAAATTGGATGCTAAAATCAGTCACTAATGACTCTGTTTATTGCAGAGGGAAGCTTGGAACACTGCAGGCCTGTAAGTGGACGTGACCAATTGGTTGAATTGACGGTTGAAGGCGGCCGGAGATTTAAGGCTTCTTGATTCTGTTACCGATGTTAAAGATTTAGAGTAATTTAATCTCCACGACAGCATGATATTGCGAGTCGGAACCTTTACAGCATAAAGCTTACGAAAGTTATATTTCAACAATTCGTTTCTTTCCTGCAAAAACACACGCGTTACAGGGAGCAGTTGATTAATGGTATTTTGTAAAACTGTGAGATACATGCGGGATGGTTGTTACGCTTTAACACAGAGTTATGATTGTCACCGCGTTGATACGTTATGAAGGGAGTTTACCTTTCGTGTATTTTTAAATTGTGTAGATGAGTTTTTTCATATCGGGATTGCGTTATTTTTATTAGTCCACACTTTGCACGGGTCACTTGTGTGTGACATTGACTAGGCAAAATTGGGCTATTTATACTGTAGTAACATACGTTTTAAAACGACTTTTATAGATTTTCCGATATTTATTGCAGCTATAAAGTAAACCAGTTTTCAAGTATTTAAGAGGCCAAAATCTAATAAATGGATGTTTTTCATCTAAGAAAAACTAGATTTGTACAGTCCTGTGGTTACGTAAGCAGGCCTACTTTTCTATCTCTCGCGCAGGGATATCTACTCTGAAGTCAATGTATGTCATGACTGGTTGGGTGAATGCTGTTTTCGTAGAATGACGAAATTTTTTAAAATTAAGTTATGATAGTAGCGACCCTGGTAGGAAGAAATGCAAACAATGTTATATTGGCTCCAGTGGTGCGGTTAACGGAGGCTGTGTTTGGCGAGTGTAGAGTCAGAGGGTCGGTTTTGTGTTGGCGCGTTTGGTAGCAATCTGGCATCACTCGCTGTGAAGATTTCATTCTCACCAGTTTTTACTGGCTGTACTACGCTGGTACAATAAATAATAAAATAGTTTGAAAATGTTTGTAGTGTGTATAAATTATTCAAATAGGATTCTTGCTATTTATACACTTCGTAGACTTTGTCCTCTACCGATTTCAATATTTGTCTGAACGACTAACGTTAATTGATTCTTAATATAAGTCAGTGTTGCCACGCGACCACTTGGAATTGTGGGCGTATCTACCACTTCAGTCGTAGATTTATGGCTGCGTTGTTGTGTGTTGTGCTGTCCTATATAGATAGAAGCCCTACGAGGGGCTGACACAGCATTCGTAATTGCCCTATGAAACGTATAAAAATGTGTAGAAAGAAGACAAAAATTTATAAAGAAAGACAAAAGCCCATAATGGGCTGGAAAGAAGCACTAGATGAGTAATTTCAGCATCTTTCTGTAGCTATTAAGTTGAATTTGTTTACTTATCTTTTGGTTTCCAACATGTGTTTGTGTTTCTGACGAATATAAGTCCATATTTGATCCATATTTTTTTCGCCGATCGGCTTGCTATTATTTTTCTATTGAGTTATTACGTTTTTGTAATAAACTTCACGGACAGAAAGAATTAACATCTTTCCTTAACCTTGGGACTGGATCGATGGTCAATGGTCACTTCATGCTCCAGCCATTTTATCCCCACGGATACTACCTTCGGTATCCATTGAATATGCCCCAGAGCCAGTCCGGTAAAGGTAGTAAAGATAAAAGTAATTACCCCTCTCGGAAGTCAAATCTCAGTCATCTAGTTCGTTTACAGTTTAATAATCAGCTGTACCTTCTCATTTTAAAAATTTTGTAGACTTTCTTCAAATGTGATGAAATTACGAAAGACGGAATTAGGAGAAAATCTGGCGATATACCTGACAATATGAACACAGTAAGAAAGAAAAAAGAGAAAGTAAACTTTCTAATCACCTGTAACTTCACTCGGCAGGTGAGGCTGTTTCGACATCCAGTTTCTCAGGTATTCAATGTGTTCCTGCTTCATATTAATATTCTTAGAAAATTCTTCTGCAGCTGTTATGGGTGGCATGTCGTATCTGATGGATTTAATTCGATAACCTTAAAAAACATGTTACAGGGCCAATGTTATTTTGTTATATCCAACTAAGTGTATTAAAGTCTGTAACACTATTATCATCTTTGAACAGTGGATAATTATTATGTTCCATTTTTTACACCAACTGTAATGCTTTCAAAGCTAAGTAGAATTTGATATTCTCATGGCGGTGAGTACGAAGATGGTGTCTTCGTGGCTGTAGGGCCGTGTAGTCTGGTAGAAATTTACCAACTCTCACTCATCGTCCTGTTGATGGAGGCAGCAAGGACCTCTGAAACGTCGGTAAGCATCTACCAGACTACACGGCGCAACTACCCAGAAGAAAACCATCTTCGGTTTCAAAGCTGTTACATGGTCGCCACTGACAGGGCGGAAGCTGTAAAATATTTACTCAGGTCTTAGACCTCTTTCGGTGAATGAATGTACTGAAATCTTTTTGGGAGATCAGTTACTTCAAATTCTACCGTGATGATGGTTACAGTAATTCTCCAAAACGTCAGTGTAGCTCTGACATGGCTGATATCCCAAAAAGATATTAACGTATGAAAATATTTATATTGTTATTATGTAACGAATTATTTAATATCCATTAAATGCCGGTATTTATTTGCATCTTACTAAATCCCACTGGAAAATTTCAGTTTTCGGTACCATGTAACCAACCAGTTTGATTTGCAAACTGTCGGCGTGATAATACTAAGACAAGATCAGAAAACCCATGGTCACATGTAATCAAATTCTTTCATTTAACTCGTAGGTGACTATTAATTTGTAGTACAACAATATTTTTAATAAAAACTTACCTCTGTAAAGCAACGGTGTGCAATGAGAACGACTAGACGGATGACTGGATAGTAGCTCTTATAAGCAGGCAGATAGCGAAGAATCTCGTTTACCTTCAGCAATTTGTAACTTGTTCTTGTGTCATAAATAAAGCTCGATGTTTTGAGGTTGCGAAGTTTACAGTGACACTTTGCTCCAGTGTTATTTTTAGATCGCGTTATAGGTCTGCCACAGTATTTGCCGTCACGAGGATTTGCGTTTGTTGCTAAGGTAGCATACACAGGACCTGGAGAACTTTCAGAATGAGGGAAAGGAGCTTCACGATCTGTAATGTTCGTCCTTATTGATAAGGATGTGATGGGCGTAGCATGTAGGTCGAGTTGGAAATGAGAAATGCTTAAAAATATTTCTCTTGACAGTGCTAATTACAGCCAAAACTTTCATGTGTTGGTCAAACGGAGTGGTTAATTGCTTGCAGATAAAATACTCCATTCATTTATTATCATATCAGTGAAACATTTACAGTTATTGAGCGAATGTACTTCAAACCTTATAATGGTGAGTGATCTACAAAATGCATAAAACATATTTTTAAATTATACCCGCTGAAGTGACAGTCGTGCTATAGGTATGACGACTGGCTTAAACATCAAACACTGAATCTTTTAAAACTGCTTGCCCATAATATATTTTACAACGCAGGCTTGAAGTTCACATTTAGTATGTGGCATTTAAACAAGAGATCAGAAAAAAAGCACATTTTAAAAGTTTCTGTGAGTTAATTTTATGGAAGGGTTTGAACAATATCCGTGTTAGACTGGAATGGCCGAGGGATGGTCTTTGTTGGTAATAGTTCTTGAGAGAGATGAATGCCTTTCTTTGGTTGGGCTATTTCTTTCGCCTCAGTCGATGTCCAATTTCTTAAATGAACCTTCCAATCCGAATACGTCACCCGAGTTCTTTGCTTTTCCCTGCCTCTTTGACTCGTCAACTCGCAAGGCCTCCTCTTCCTTAAACCAGTCCCTGTACTTCTCGAGCTGTGCCATCGTAATTTCTGGTGGTAACAGAAAAGGCAGTAGTAATTAAATTTCTGTTTAAGTGTGTTTTCCAGCAGCAAAGATAATAATTCAATTCAATTCTTTAATATTAGTGTGCTGTATCAACAGCCAGAAGGCCAATTACAGATACAGCACAGAGATGAGCACACGAACACAATAAAACACAAAAGGTAAAACAAGCAGAATATAAAATACATTAATACGGAGGACGTTAATACACAAGAAAATTGCAACTGAATATATTAGCTTATTTGTAAAAATAATTTAAATCAATTAAGTAAATTATACTATTATATAATGTGAAGAAGTGTGACAATTTTCGTCTCGAATATGTCCGAGTCCCTGCAGACGACATTAGCAGCTGATGCGCATCTAGCAGAAGGACTGTTTTTGATCAAAGGGCTAAAACTGAACATAGAAAAATCTCTCAGATTCCGAGCAGGGATGCGGAGACCGACAGCTTCCAGAAGGGAAGGACAGCATTTAAAACCGCGGTAAACCTGCGCAAGGAACAGTGCATCACTGCAATGCCTTCTCTTACGCAGGGTCTGGAGTTTTAAATACTCTAACGCATCAGCCCTCCTCTTCCTTAAACCAGTCCCTGTACTTCTCGAGCTGTGCCATCGTAATTTCTGGTGGTAACAGAAAAGGCAGTAGTAATTAAATTTCTGTTTAAGTGTGTTTTCCAGCAGCAAAGATAATAATTCAATTCAATTCTTTAATATTAGTGTGCTGTATCAACAGCCAGAAGGCCAATTACAGATACAGCACAGAGATGAGCACACGAACACAATAAAACACAAAAGGTAAAACAAGCAGAATATAAAATACATTAATACGGAGGACGTTAATACACAAGAAAATTGCAACTAAATATATTAGCTTATTTGTAAAAATAATTTAAATCAATTAAGTAAATTATACTATTATATAATGTGAAGAAGTGTGACAATTTTCGTCTCGAATATGTCCGAGTCCCTGCAGACGACATTAGCAGCTGATGCGCATCTAGCAGAAGGACTGTTTTTGATCAAAGGGCTAAAACTGAACATAGAAAAATCTCTCAGATTCCGAGCAGGGATGCGGAGACCGACAGCTTCCAGAAGGGAAGGACAGCATTTAAAACCGCGGTAAACCTGCGCAAGGAACAGTGCATCACTAATAATAATAATAATAATATTGATCTAATAACCTATAAATGCCATTCAAACTACTATATAAAAATCAAACTCTTCCTGCCTTGACAGGCCCAGTGGGTGTTTTAAAAAATAATCTTGATTTTTAGTTCTACTATAATGCATATAAACTTACTTGAATATGATGATAAGGAGTCCAGATTTCCCCCAAATTCTTTGGGTAGCGCATCTTTTGTGACGTGTTCATGTAATGTGTCGAAGGACGAATGGATAAAAATCTGGTTAAAAACAAAGTAAGTTGTAAGACAAGGGGAGTTGCTGGAAGAACATTTACCCCTCAGTTCTGATATGCTGATTAAATCTACTTAAACTGCATGAAAATAATTATTATACATTGCTCGATGTCCCACTTGGTATATCTTTATGTGCGTAGTTCCCACTTGCATCGATTCTGTGTCGTTACATGGATGAAATCCCTCAGTGTGTCGTAGTCCTCAACACAACCATTGTTAGTAATCGATAAAGAACAAAGGTGAAGTTATGACGTCATGTAAGATGGAATTTACGCTGCGTTCTGTTATTTTCAGCTAATGATTTTAAACGTCACTTCAAGCCTGGTATGAACGTATTGAAGTAAGTAAATGCTATTTGAATGTCGGGTACATTGTAGTGCATTTTTACCGTACTTTTTATGAAAATATTTGTTTACTGATTACAAACACTTAGTGATAAAACTAAACTATGTATAGTATGAATTAAAACCAATGAAACTAATATATTTAGTGTATTGTATTATTCACTTCATATAATACAACTATAAAAGGAATAGAAATGATTTACCGCAAAGTTTTTAAGTAATGACCGACAGCTGATTCTAAAGCTTCTCTTAGTATAGAGCTAAGGGTGAAAAGTTCCTGGAAATTCGGAAGAAAAGGATCGAACAATTTTAATTGTTCTTTCCAAAACGGGCCATTCGTGATGTTGACGACATATCCATGCATCCTATTTTAAAGTGTGTGCGTAACAATACATTTAAATATAATTAATATTGTTTTATTAATGTACTAAACAATGAAGAGAAAGCCATTCAAAGGAATCGCGTGAAGATTATATGATGTCAAATTCTGATATACAATAAGAATTACAGACAGTAATAGAAATGTGAAAATGTATAAGAATAAGACTTAAAGAGTGTGAGAACTAGAATAATTAAACATGAATTAATAATGAATCACTCCAAGACTGAAAAATATCAGTCAGTAAAATATATATGTTGATGAAGATATAAATCCCCCTGCTCCAAAAGCACGTGTAGCTGGGAAACTGAATTTGTAAGTGCTGGAAATTTGTGTAGAAGGGTAATATTTGATTAACTTATAAGACCTCGTAGACTGACATTTTCTAGATGAAATCAACAATTTTGCTTTTAAAAATTATGAAAATTAGAGCATGTAAATAATTTTAATCCATGGACAGATAAGTTGATAGTTGCTCACCTAGTCAGAAAGTTATTGCACCAAAAGGTTCATTGTCGTGTTCACAAGAATTCGCCACTGGTCCCTTCTCTGAGTCAGATGAATCCAGTCTACATTGTCATATCCTGTTTCAGAACATGGGAATTTCTCGTACCTTACTGGCGAGTTCCTTATTCATGAATGGTTTTCCTATGTTTATGAATGCCTCGATGACAGGACCCGCGTTCACCATGTGGTTCGCGATCACGATGCCAGGGAATGCTTCCTGTAAAAAGAAAAGAAAATTATTATACACTGAAGATCGATTGTTAGTTTATTTTAGTGTTGTATTTATTTCGTAGTTAATTTATTACTAAGTTATTAATGTACCTATCATTAAATATCACAGTTCGACTCCTGTGAACAGCTTTTGAAATAGAAGGTAGAAAATTTACATATTTTCTTCCCTAATATAACCCAAATATTATACCATGTTTTTCGATGTAATAAATTTGCTTTATTTAACTTGAAAACCGATTGATACATATATTTTAATGTAATGCACGATTGAACTGAGTGAATTTTAAAAAAATAATGGAAGGAATTTCTTAAAATATATTGATACTCACACGTCTTATGGACTGTTCGTGGTATTAGTATGACCAATAGAACTACTTCCGAACGGAGGTAAAATTAGTTTAACATTGGAGGTTACGAAAGTCAACAAAGTCCTCATATTTGTGCTGTCTCTAAAGTGATCTTTAAAGACTCAAGTGTTTGTGATTTTGCTGAGTATGTGCAGAATAATTCGGGATAATACATTACACATTAGGCCATGCCCTTTTAACACCCGTTCCAATTTATAATTCATAATTATCTTGTCATCCGTCTTTATGTATCATGTACGTTATAAAAAAAAAAGTTGGTTCAGTTTGTGTTTCTGCGTAAAATGACAGAATGCTGAGTGTGCTGTGTCCTAGCTGTCATGAAAACGTCGTTCACAGCAGAAACAAAGCACGCAAGTTACAGAATTAGCAGAAAAATATTATGTATAGCTCATTCACATCATGGTCGGGGATGAATTGTCGTTGAAAGGACTAAATAAGTGGGTTCCCTGTTACCATGACAACGGCCTGGTCTGAACTTTGGGAACATAGAAATTACGAGTAAACCGAAAGGCTTCGTAAGTTACACCTTTCATCAAATAGTATTTGAACAATGACGTCAAAGAAGATGAGATGGACGAGCCATGTAGCTCGCACTGGGACACTATTTATTCGGGAAAACTGTAACGAAGAGACGGGTTCGGAGAAGACAGCTGGGACGATGATTTTCACATGTTTTGAAAAGATAACTTGGGAAGATTTGAATGAATTCAGTTGGCTCTGGACATGGTTCAGTGACGACCACCTCTGAACAGTGTAATGAACCTTCGGGTTCCATAAATGGCAGGGAATTTTTTTCACCAGCTAAGCGAATATGAGTTTTCCTATAAAGGCTCTAGTCCATAGAGCGAAAACGTGAAAAGTCTGTTACTGCGAAATGGCAGGATTATTTAGCTTTTGTTCAGTGTTTCAGAGTTGCTCTGGTAAGAAATAGACTGAAGATGTGGCAGCCATATGAGTGGTAGTGTAAGGTCACAAGCGATATTTCTTATGCACATGAGAGTAATTTGACACACTTTACCTGTATGTACATGTAGTATTTCTTAACAGTCGAAAGGCTTGTTCTGGCTAAGTGTCCCATGCCGGCACTACTAGCATCTAATACAAATACGAAGCCAGGAATCGCGCCCTCTTCAAGGAGTATCACGTCTTGTAGCATGAACCAAGCCTTGGTGGTTTCTTCGTATGAAAATTTGGATACGTTGTTGTCCACCACACGACCAGCCATCACCAAATTTCCGTGCTGATCTCTCTTAGGCATTGCCACAATTTCACTGCAACGCATAATTTGGAAATATAACCTAAATTTTCGTAAGCAACAATTATTTCCTACTCGGATAAGCTATACTGAATTGACACTAATAAAACCGATACACATAGTTTTATTTTTCGATATTGGTCTTCGGAGTTGTAACTTCATGTGAACTGTCGACGTACAAGTCCACACGGCTTTACGAGAACCGACGTCACATGTTCACGACCGTGAGAACCTCCAATCTCATGTACTATTAAATAATAAATGTCATTGTAAACAGGACTAAATTATATTCCTATCCCTACATACTGAAGGAGAAACGTTTGTATCTTTATTCAGTATTACCCCGTAACATGAATCGGAAAAACGTAGGTTACAACTACAAGAGAATCATTATGGATAACTAAGATAAGATTTTCAGGATGTTGACTATATTATTTTAACAAAATTTATTTCTTTAACTATAACCATCAATGTCATAATCGTAAAGATTATAGCCGTTAAGCTAGTCAAGTAATCTCCCGCCCTATATGTGCTAGACATTCCGCCCATATAATCCTTCTCAGTTTGATCACTATTCTAAACGACTTTTATCTACAATAGTGAATTGATTAAATAGCGATGAAACTGAAATATATGCTCGTTCTTGCAATATTATGGATTAATGTCTGCTTGTCTTATATTCTTCGCTTTTGGTAAATACTCTGTTAAAGGAATTGTATAGAATTCAATTCAATTCATTTATTTAAGTGCTTGACAAGAGCCAAATAAGGCCAATAACAGCCAGGCACTAAACCAGAGTACAGGATAAGATATAATAAATAATTAAATTCATTTCAATAATAATGAAAGTAAAACATTACAAATACAAGAACAAACAAACAAATGAAACTAAATATATAAATGTACCATATTAATATTAATAATAATTAAATTCATTTGTTGAATAATATTTCACAAGTGAATGGGCAAAATACGATACCTAAGTAATATAATTCAATTCAATAATACTAAATAAAAACATTAAACAATAAAAAAATAGAAGAAACTTATAAATAATCATAATAATAATAATTATTATTAAAATACTATAGCGTTGTGTCCCATTGTTGGGGAGATTTAATAATATTACATGACGTGTACCAATAGTTTATGTTTCACTAAAATCGAAGATTTTAATTAGGTGTGTTTCCACACGGTGAATATTTATCGAAATATGAGGCAATACGGTTCGTGACTCTGTGTAGTGTTTTTAGCTGCCCAGTTGACAGACTTGTACGTGCATCATCTGAATCAGTAAGGTAGGCAAAACGCAAAGCCGAATGCTACAGTTCACCTAACAACAGCGAGGTTAGCCTCGCATTGTACTTACATTATGGACAGTGCCTGCTGTAACTCTCTTCGCCTAGTGTCCCGGTTTGCAAACAACTCTGGCGCGTGAGTGCGAATTGTGTAGTACATTTCGATAGTTTGCTTGCAGGCCTCCAGACTGTGCTTACAGCAGTTCAGGAACAGGATGAGTTGTTCGTCTGTCAACACATGTCATCCACAGCAGTCTGAGATTTGATTCCCACCTACATTCATCCATTGACACGTGAAATAATGTTGATGTAGTGGTTTGCGTCTACACAGCTGTCTCATTTGCCTCATCTCACTTCGTAGTTGTGTTAGGTGCGTGCTAAATAGGGGAGTCGAGAAATGCGTGCATAATTTTTGAAGGGAAGCTTGAGGGTGAGATAGCGTTTCGAAGACCTAGGCGTAGATAGGGGATACTATTAAAATGGAGCTTGGGGAATACGGTTGAAGTGTGTTGTTTGGTTATATGCTATTCGGGATAGGGTCCGATGGAAGTAACTTTATGAATCTTCGAATTTCATAAAACGCGGGGATTTCTCTTGCTAGCTGAGAGTACTATCGTATTTTGAAGAAGTTGAAACGAACAGGTGATGATTTAGAGAGATGATTATCAAATATGGCAGGCCTAAGTCAGATTTTCCATAAACCACTGAATATGTTGGAAATATGTAAGGAAGATAATGTTGTCTCTGAAGATGTCTCTCCACGGTTGTTGTGCCATGTAGCCAGGTAGGAGCTTACCGACGTTTCATAGGTGCTTAGTGTCTCCAACATCAGGATCTCATCGTCCTGTAGGTTGCTGGTTTTTCTTTCATGAATATACATAATAGGCATGCTTTTCGAACGAATTAATAGAACTGGACGTACAGACCAGTTCAGTGTAAGATTAAATGAATGAATGCATGCCGCTATGGTTAGAAGATGTGCAAGGGATGGACAAAATCAGAAAACCAAACAAGATTCCCATTATACATGAACAGAAAGAAGACATATTGACCTTAAAAGAAGGTGATGGGAATTTTAGGCTTGGGTGGGAAGATTTGCAATGCTCTGAAGTGAAGAAGATTAAGCATTATTCTCCCAGGCTTTTAACTGAATTGTAAGAGGCGCAATTTGATTGAGGCATTCCATGATTTAGCGAGCCATCACAGGCACAAAAGGGCTTCCACACTGTCAGAGTAAACTGGGCTGATAAACGCTGTACGACTGGGATAAGTGTTCTCGGTACCCTTGGATAGGAAGCTAGATGTGAGACCAAGTTTTTCACTTTTGCAAACCAGGAGGTAAAATAATATTTTGTGCATTTCTATAGTTACGTTTTATGACCCAAGTATGATTTCAAGACCTGTTATTTTTATTATACTGGCACTGGGAACTTAAGTACTGGTATCTAATTACGACAGAAACCATTATAATAGTCCATATGTTATTACAGTTTATGGCCTTCTGGAACCTGTGTTTATGTAAGAACCTATGTTTTGTAAGAACTTGACAAAGATTTACGTGTTTCTATGTTTTTAAGTTCTTCTCCTACCTGAAGTTTGTTAGTACCCATATCATAACCATAAATTACGTATGTAGAAATGCCATATTATGTCATACAACTTTTATTTGAGAAGTGAATAAACTTAAAAGAAACTGGCTTTGAATATAATTAATCTATAGGGAATATGTAATTTGTTGAATGTTGTGCAAATATGGTTAAGAAAGAGAGAAAGATCACAGTGTCACATTTCGATTACTATTTTCCTGTGTTGGATGTGGTGATTGTTGTGATCATTGTACCAGCAGCGGCTCATTTACATTCGTACTTTTTAAAAAAATAGGTTATTTAACGACTATTTGTGAACTTGATTACATCACTGCCCGATATGAAACTTTGAATAATCAATGCTGTAAGATATGACAGGATGTGATGTCACTCTGTGCACTTTCTTTGAAGTTTAATCGGCGGTTTAGTTACATTTTCTTAAATATTCAGAGAATCATAATATTTTTAAACACGTTATATTATGCACCAAGAAATAAAAGGAATTTTTTGTCATGACAAAATAATCACATGCTAGTCAGGAAGTTTTTACGTAATCTTAGAGCATTTTGATGAGTTTAGTCCAATTTTCAAAAGTTTCGTAAAATCCACCCCTGCTACCACTGCTACTGCATATGCTCGTTAAGTGTTGCCCTGCTGCTTGTAACATATTATAGATTAACCGTTATTTGATAAAATTCACTCCATTCGGCCGATAGTCTTACCTGTGACTCCGCTGGGCAGATGCGGCTGCTTCGACATCCAGTCCCTCAGATATTCGATATTCTCTTTCTTCAATTTGTTATTCTTTGATAACTGCTCCTCTGCTGTGATGGGTGACATTGTAGCGGCTGTTGGACTAGTGAGAAGACAGACATAAACAATAGTCATAAAATTACGTCTTTGATTAATTAAAAGTTAAAACTAATCAGGATAGTAATAAGAAAATTTGGGAAGAAGGTATGGTCTTACTTTTATGAATGACGTTTAGTTATAAAGTAATATTTACACACAATTGTGATCTGGTTCTGTCCATAATTTGGCACGATGTAGTAAAATTTTCCACTAAATGCCAGTACGTATCACAGATGACTTTTCTACTTTACCCTAAGGAATATACAGAGATTGAGGGCATTTGGAAATGTACTTGACGTCCTCTAGCCTCGAGTTGTAAGACACGATATCAAAATATCACACAGATTATTTTCTGTTTCCTTCAGTCACGACAAAACAAAAGCTTTGTGAATGTAAATTATACCTTTTTCACAATTTCTTTTGTTCTGTTGTCGGATTATTCATTATGTACAGATCAGAATGTTAGGTAAAGCTGCTCCACTATACGCCATGTAGGCGTTTGAGGGGAGAGGTTGTACAGCTCTTACTCTTTCTTAACCTCGGCACTAGATAGGGGTGAGTGGTCAACGTCACGCCCCGTCAGCACTTTACCCCCGGAAAAGGTCTCCGGTACCAATTGGATAGGAGGCTTGGGGTAGGGGGGAATTTACTGGTACGTGTGTGAAGATCCTAACCAACATCATAATACAAGCTGAATTAAAATAAATAAATAAATAAGTAGATTTTTATCTTAGAATGTAAACGATATTTAAATTTCCCTCTCCCCTTGCTGTTTTGATTCTTTTTTCTCTAATTTCCTTCCTCTTCTCTTTTATTTTCCTTTTTACGTTCATATTTTTCCCCTCGTTCGTTTCTTCCTTAACTTCACTTCCTTGTGCTATTTGTTTTATTCACTCCATCTCTACTTCTTGCCTTTCATATTGTTCTGTTTTTTCCTTTCGCATACCGTACTCTTCTCATTATTTTTGTAATTTCATATCATGATATAACTGTCGTTGAATTATAAACTTCACTATGGTCCACTGTTTTCAGTAACTTGTGCTGTTTGTCAATTGATGACTAAAAAATCAAACAGAACAGCTGTAACAGCGTAGCTTCTTACCCCTTGCCTCTATTGCCCCTGAACTACCTTGGCCGACTCACATACGGGATGACTGCTTGGAAGAATTGTTGTTCCGTCGCAAGGCCTCCGCCTGCGAAGAAAGACGCGGACGGACATTCATGTCTTCAGTGTGATTCAAACCCATGGCCCCAGTGTACGAGTGATCAAGGAACAACAGCTGTTGCATTTTCTGATACATTCGACTGTAAATATTTTATTCTATAGGAAACTCAAGTATTGCGCTTACTTGGTCCTGGAGGGGGGGGGGGAAATTTGTTAGGTTATGCAACAAGATCTAAGTTGAATAGAAAACTCTGTAATGACAAGTAAACATGTAAAAGTGTACGTAATGATTTGTCAAGGTTGTGCTCAGAATTACGTGTCCAGACGCAGTCATCTGTTCTGAAGGTTAGTGAGTGGAAATATTCCTACAATATTACCAACCGATAACTTTAAATGTCTTTTTTCCCTTAATAGATGGAATTTAGTTGTTAAGAATTAATCACAGTTGCCTTTATTCATTAATCAGTAAACATTGATTACCGGGTGTAGCTGAAAGGTGGTTGTTAACACTTTGACATTGAATTCGCAAGGTCTTGAGTTGAAATTTCGGATCGGAGGCCAGCTAACTTAAAATTTTTCGTGTCTTTCCTACGTGCATGTATTAAAATGTCACGCTTCCTTTCACATTATTACCATAATCATTCTATCAGTCAGTGCTAAATAACCTGAGGTCTTGTGGGCGTTGAATGGCATTTTGAGCATCTGCTGATTAATGGCTGAATGGTAAAGCTTGTAGTCATGGGGAGAAAGAAGGCAGGTAGATTAGGAAGTGACAGGTAAATATGGAATAGCCTTGGTCAGATTGTGATTACTAACGCCTCCCAACTAAGTTTTGTTGTGAAATTCATGTTGGAAGGATTGTGTTAAAATTTTTCTTGGCAGGTTCTTGCTAATTAAGATTAAAATAATGGATTGTACATTTGAGCTTACAAATGAGTATGTTGTTATTGTCACTGACCTTGTCAACGTATGGTATTGATGGTCTTTTGGACTTCTGTTTGCAGAAGTCCAAAATACTGAAATTTCAGCTCGTTATTGTGAAAGTCATAAAATAGTCCGAAATATAGCAACATATTCTTCTTATGCCTTCAAGGAAGGAATGGTTACCTATGTCTGCTTCGCTTCAGAATGAAATGAGGGCAGTGAATATTTTCGACACTGGACAGAATCAGTGGAGTAAAATATTACGCGAATTGAAACACAGCCTATAAGATACAAGGAGTTCCGCATGAAACTCGTACAGTCAGATTACCTATTGAACTCTCTTACAATTATTTTGATGTTAATTATATAACGCTTATAATTCAATAATAAAATACAGTGTACCTCATGACTTAACGTTCTGGACTCATATGTGGATGACCCGAACGTCGAATCCTTCTCAAGCAAAACTATTTATAATCGATTGCTATTATAAGTACTAAACGGTTTATCGCCAGTTTATCTCCTTGAGGTAATGGTCTTAGACACGGACAAATATGTGAAGAAATGTTCTAATAATTAATGTCTCGCTATGGCGGTTAGCAGCCGAGCTTCCTATCAAATGGATACCTGTGATTTTTGTTTTCATAATAAATATGCCTGAGCGTGAAGCTAATCATTCATCTCCACCTAGATCTGATAGTGGGAATGTATGGATTATTACTTCCACTCTCCAGTACGTATTCTTAGATAGTTGTACAAGCAATGGGACTACTTTAGTTTTACAATCCGTACGTAACATTACAATACGAATCATTCTGATCTCAGTATGGTTCTTCACCAGCATGTGGTTAATTAACGGGATAAGGAATGTCCCTGTTTGTATGATACAAGAATATTTTTTGGGTGTCTTTAGCCACGACCGCATAATCACATTCTGTATATTTTATATTATAATCTTCCCATCACGACGTACATTACTGCACATTTTTAATTTAACATAAAATAATGTATACACAATTTTCACTTTCATGTCGGAAATGTTTATTCGATATAATATAGGCTTATTTCTCTGATTCACACGTAAGTTTGATTTTGTTTTTCACATTTTAATAAAGAGGCTATTTGGCCCGGTTTAAAGTATTTGTACTATATCCTTGATAAATGGTTCCGTTTACTTACGAACTTTGCTGCTGTACTGTTGGTTGATGTCGTCAATTCAGAAGTTGCCCGGGCAATACTTCGCGACATGACTGCGTTACACAGTTTTATAACTACATTGTGTGTTCCTATGCACTGGCTCACCTTGAAGTTTTTACATTGTCACCAGTGGACTCGCGCTAGTGGCGGATTTAGTTTGTTCACGCATATATAAACTTAGTTGTTCAGCGACTTCTTTTTATCTACACAGCTTCCAATCGTGTGTATTGTCGGAGAGTACAGTTATGTGAATTATGAACTCGAAAGGATTTGGAAGTAAGCGTTGTGGCTTATTGTATGATATTTTTCAGATATTACCTGAAACTACTGAAGAAATTTCATGAAAAATTAGGCTTTAGTAGTCACATTTTTGACCGATTTCGCACCACGTGTGTACACAAAGAAGTTTTACAATAAATTAACAAAATTGCATACAAACATGTATTTTGTTATACATTTTATTGTTGAAGACGTTAAAGTTGTTTTTTTTATGTTTTTAAATTATGACAATGAACACTTGTGACCATCGAAAGATTACGGAACATCACATATAAATTGTAACAATGACATGAACATTTACTAAAAATTTATTGTAGTGTTTCGAATTTGCAGTATTATACACGTCTGCATGCGATTAAACTCAGGTAAGGAAAATGCGGAAGTTACTGAATGGAAAATCCCCACGTCGGAAACCCCAGTAGCTGTGCACCACCAGGGGGGAATCCGCCATGATTACGTCATCGAGACAAACGAATCGCCAGACACAACGCCCACGCAAGGTCATTGACCCCAGATTATACCGATATCAGTCGCACCATGTGCAGATGTTGAGGATCAAACCCTTTTGAATGCGCCAGAATTGTTACTTGTGCGTACGTACATTTCCCAAGTTGTTAGTTTTCAACTCTAATTGCTCCGACCTGTAAATTCAAGGAAACGTGTTCTATATTGATTCAAGGTAAAGCACATTCGCATGTTCTTATGCTTTTGACGTCTACATCAAACTCTCTCGGAGCCTGGTCAGTAAACGAACTTGCTTCGTACCCTTGCAAGTTGGAATCGTATCAATCCATGTATCTTTGTCCTTATGCTAGAGTCCCAAACGTAACTTTATACAAGACGCAGTTCTTAAGAGTTTCCCT